AGGTTTTAAGGCTTCTGCATTTAACCTTTTCATGTCTCCGCTCCTTCGCTCCTTCATTTCAAAATAAAATTAGAATATAAGTACTTACCTTTCAAGGTTGTTGTGAGTATGAAGTGAGACAATATGTGAAAAGCTCTTAGAACAAAGTCTAGCGCACTCTAAATAATACAATAGCTTTTAAAATCATACTAGTTATTCTGTGTGCTATATATCTAAGAAAGGGAAGAAAAATGGCAGTGACCTAGGTCTCATCACTAGGGATTCACGTTACACAACCTAATGTATCATCTCCCTATATTTTCACTCACATAGGAGGCTACATTAGTCAGCTTCTGCATTACTAGACATATTACCTGAAACCCACAATTTATTTTAGAGAAAAAAAATAACAAAATAACAACAAAGACAAAAACAAAACAACACAAAAATAATAAAAATGATACAGAATTTCAAAACAAGATGATAGGAAATTAACAATGGTGGTTCTATTACATATTATTATCTTCAACGAAGTTTCTCAGATTGCCAGATGTGAGAATGCAAGATTGATCAAACCATTAAAGAGAATAAAAAATAATTGAAAAAAATAGAAATGATACAGAGCTTTATTAAACAAGATAGTAGGAGTTCAATAATGGTTGTTATATTGCATATTGTTGTCTCAAAGGGAAGGAACAACTGGGATGAGGGGAAGGAGAAAAGAAAGAAAGAAGAGAAAAAAATATACATGTATATACAAGGATAGCTGGGATAATTGTACTGCTGATGTCTATTGGTTTATTGAAAGAAATAGTTAATGCTCAATTTTTTGAACAATTTTGCATGCTTATATCTGGTAATCTGAACAACTAATATGAAGAAACCCACAATTTAAAGGAGGAAAGTTTACTTTCACTCATATCTTAAGGATATTCAGCCCATGGTCAACTGACTCTAAGGCAGAAACATGGCAGAAGGGCATGGTGGAGCAAAGCTACTTATTTCATGGCAGCCAGGAAGGAAAGCAGAACAGCACCAGACAGGAAATGGAAAGGGATCAAAGCCACACCTCCATGCCTACCCAGCCACACCCAGAAGTGTGCTCCACTGATCCCCTGGGCAGCTCCCAAGCCAACCAAATTGACATAGCCAAGCTTACCCATCACACAGGCATTCATTCATTTGTGAGTAAACACTTATTGAGTCCCTGCCACCTGGGAGGGCCACATACACAGGTATAAAGGAGACAGACTCTGTGGTTTGCTCTCAACCACTCATGGTTCAGAGAGAGGGACAGGGGCTGACCACAAATGAGGGTCTAACATAAAAAGTAGACTAGGTACTGTGGAAACGTGGAGAGGTGGCATCTAATCTTCAAATAAAAAGAGAGACAGAGGTATTGTCCTCATAGAAGAGGGGAATAAAACTTAGTTGAGTATGGTGGGCAGAATATGATGTTCATGTCCGAATCCCTGGAAACTGAATACCCTTACATATCACAGGAAGAATTAAGGGCATTAAGGCTGCAGGTGAATGAGGCTGCTACTCAGCTGATTTTGAGATAAATAGATTTTCCTGGAGTACCACATGGGTACAATATAATCACAGGGGTCCTTAAAGTGGAAGAGGGAAGTACAGAATGAGTCAGAGAGTGTGATATGAGAAAGACTTGATTTGCCTTGGCTATGAAAATAGAAGAGAGCTATGAGCCAAGGAATGTGGGTGGCTTCAGGGAGCTGGAAATTGTAAGGAAACTGATTCTCCTCTAAAGCCTCTAGGAAGAATGTAGCCTTGCAGACACCTTCACTTTCACTCAAAAGTCCATGCTAGGATTCTGGCCCTCAGTGCTCTAAGAGAGTATGTTTATGTTATTTTAATTCACTAAGATTAGAGTGACTTGTTATGGCAGCAATAACAAATACTTGGGTTTAGGACCATCCTTTCAGGAAGTCATCTGGCTGTGTGATGGGAAATGAAATGAAGAGGCCAAGAATGAATGCAGAGTCCTGATGAGAGTGGAGGGTGAGCTCAACCAGAGCAGACAACTGTTATGCAATGTGTCTGCACTAGACTCTGAAGTCAGACTGTAGGGAGGAGGGCTTGGAGGGGCCAATTGCAGTGCCATCAGCTGGAACTTTAGAAAGATCACCAGGCTATAGTGTGGACGATGGAGTGGGTTGGAATAGGGAAAACAAAGCTGGTAGGAAGGAGTCCATTTATGAAGTTTTGCAAAAATCTAGATAATAAATGATAGAATAGCTGTGTAGCAGCATATAAAGAAAAGGCACAGATTTGAGAGAGACTCTGGAAGTAGAACCTGCTGGTCCCCGTCACCAGCTATCTATGATAGGGAATGGGAAAAGGGAATCTTAGGGTCTATCAGGCAGTTCTGAAGCCAAGCAATTAAGCCTATGCCCCCAAGCCGACTCCTGTGGCTCCCCAGTCCTCCCTAAGCCCTCCATCTGAGAGCCAATACATCCTTGCAACACAGAACCACACAACCAGAGATGGGGGACAGACCTGCAGAATCGTACATGGCAGAATGTGGAGATCTTGACACCAGAGCCCGAATCAAGGATTGTGAAAGCTAAAGGACATTACTTCCAAAGAAGGGGCTCAAGGACAGCTTCCTGGCAGAGATGACACCAGGAATTTTATCTGGGAAATTTCAAGATGATTAAGAGGAGCTTGCATAGAAGAACCAAGCACAGGCTCTGTTTTGAAGGCGTTCACAGTTCAGAGGCTGTTATGCAGATAAAGTGGTCTTTCTTACCGATGCTTGGGAACATGCAGTGGAACAGGCACAGGCTGGAAATCAAGATTAAGGCTTGCTAGCCAGTCCCGGTTCCATAATGAAGAAAAAAAATGGGGAGCTCTCAAACAAGTCGCTTCTCTGCCTTGCCTCTGTCTTTTCTCCCATCCAATGTGAACAGTGGTGCTCATCACTCCTGGGACCATCACCTATGATTAGAAGGGCTCCGTAGCCTTGGGTCACTGTATAACCAGTGAATTGATTTTGTGACCTGGAAGATGGGGATTTCTGAGCATCACTGTGCCTTGGAAGGAAAAGCAGCCCTCAGCCCTCCATCTGAGAGGTGGCTGAGCTTGCAAAATAATCCTGGGGTGAGTTAGGGAGTTGCTTAAGACCTGGATACCTTCCTGCAAGCCTGACAAACAGCAGTTACACTGAGATGAACTGTTGCTGGCAGAGACAGAAATGAGGCTGAGGACTTCAAAGGTGGGCCAGTGCACATCAGTCTGTTCTCTGGTGGTAGCCAATAAACACAGATGTGTCCAGAGGGTTCCGATGTTTAGTAATGAGGGAAGATTGGGAAGCCACAGGAGTCGGCTTGGGGGCATAGGCTTAATTGCTTGGCTTCTGAACTGCCTGATAGACCCTAAGACTCCCTTTTCCCATTCCCTATCATAGATAGCTGGTGACGGGGACCAGCAGGTTCTACTTCCAGAGTCTCTCTCAAATCTGTGCCTTTTCTTTATATTCTGCTACACAGCTGTTCTATCATTTATTATCTAGATTTTTGCAAAGCTTCATAAATGGGCTCCTTCCTACCAGCTTTGTTTTCCCTATTCCAACCCACTCCATCGTCCACACTATAGCCTGGTGATCGTTCAAAAGTTCCGTCTGATGGCACTGCAATCCAGCTGAAAACCCTCAAAGAGTCTCTTTGCCCTCAGAATAAAGACCATTTCAGAGAATCACTTAGTGGACTCCTGAGAGCTGACCTTATCCGTGCTTCTCCAGGCCTATCCAGTTTTCACTCAGTGCTAAGGCATCTCAAACCTCAGCATCTTTCAATTTCCAGATTGAGCCAGATAAAGATTTTATCCTGTATTCTCTCTCTCTCTCTCTCTCTCTGTCTTTCTCTCTCTCTCTCTCCCTCTCCCTTCCTCCCTCTCCCCACCTCTATCAAATACACACCCTTTAGACTTTTCCATATAGTGTTCGTTTTGCTTGGGCCCCACTCTATCTCTTTCTTGCCCTTCTTCTAAATAATGCTTCCAAATCTATTAAGACTCACTTCCTCCAAGAAGTCTTCCAAACTTCCCCAGTCTGCACTAAGCACTCCTTTTGTATACTTCTTTGGTCCCTGAATTTCCCATATGACTGTTAAATTTAATCTCTCTGACCTAAAACTGTCTGTGTACACTATCAAGGCTTCAAATATTTTTCACTACAGCTCAATATGAAAATCACTATGGTTTTAATTTTCTACAGCAGACATAACCATTCACTCAAGTTTTCATTCCACCGATAACATAAAAGTACTTCTACTTGCAGATGAAGGCTCTAAAACACCTTATCTACAGTAAACATTCACTCTATTCACTGAACAGCATTCAGCTGCTGTTGACCAGCAGCCCTTTTTGTTTTACATCAAGCAATCTCAGTCCCACTCAACTTGACCTCGAGGTGCAGGCAGATGTTGGTAAGGGAGTCTCTGGTACAAGGCCTTTTGGACCCTGGCTGGCATTCACTACATGATTTCTTGTTTGAGCTGGGCCCTGGCTCTGGTTTCCAACATAATATGAAAAAACTGAAACAGTCTTTTGAGAGGGGCAATATGTTAGAGCCCACATCCAAAGTCCAAAGTCACTAGGGTTATATATGCTGAACTCCATTTGTCCTGATCTTGGCTTCTTCCCTCATGTCTGCATCCAGATGAGCAGGGATATTGCGCCAAGAAGTCTTGGCAGTGCTTCCTCCTTTACCTTGTGAGTACGCAACTTTCAGGCTTCAATTCAAGCTTTTTACACCACCTACCACTGCTTCTCATGGGAGATCCTATTATCTTATTGAATGAAAGGGCTTACAAATTCCCCCTTCTATGTCTTGATTCTGGGGGAACAAGTCCCAATGGCCCTGCTCCTCTACCCTAACATTTTCCCAAAGCCCTTTGCTCATAACTTAAACATTTGTTGGTACGAATTTTGTGCTCTAGACTGCACGGGGAACACTTTCACCTTCAAAAGGCGGAAAGTTGGGATGTTGAGATACTCACATCTGCAGTTTTTTGGCCTGTTGGCCTTTCTCTTCCATAACTCCTTGCAGCAGGAGAAGCAGAAAGAGAGGTTTTCAGTTTTCTCTTCCAGTCTGGTGGGAACAGGCTTTGAGGCTGTCACCTGCACCAACTATATTGTAAAACCAAACACAACAGATTGAGTTGGCCAGGGGAGGTTTTTTTTTTTTTTTTTTTTTTTTGGTTTTTCTCCTGTACCGGGAACCGAACTCATGACCTTGCGCTTGCCAGGCAGGCGCTTTTGCCGCTGAGCTAAATCCCCAGCCCCCAGGGGAGGTTTTTAATATGGAAAGAAATCTTCACTCAGCACAGACTGACTGGAGACAGAAGAAAGTCAGCTTTGAGGCGCAAAGTTGGGTACCGGTCCCTCCTTTTCTGGGTGGTATCTACTCCTCTATGAAAGGGATGGAGGCCAAGGGTTTAGTGTGAGGGATGTCCTAAACAAATGTTGGGGACGGACTATGATTCCTTTTAATGTTTTCAGAAATATGAAATTTGCACGATCTGTAGGAACCACTTATACACATAGGTTGGATGCCAGCCAGCAAATAACTGGAGGACAAAAACTATCTCTTTTATTGTTGTGTTTCTAGTGCCAAACACACAAGAGTAAGGATTGTCAAATGAATTAATGAATAAGTGAAAAGTAGAATGAAAGGACACCCAAGTCTTGAGTGCTTGACCCAAAAATGTAAACTAGTGTCCCTCATTCAGAAGAAGACCATGGAGTTTCCAACTGCTCCCCAGGAAGGACAGAGCTTCCAGGTGACCTTAGATGCGACAATGTAAGCATTAGTTTGATCCCCCAGTGTCTACAGAACAGCTAAGGTTCAGACAGGTATTTGGCACCAGCCCTTCTGTCACCCTTCCCAATTCCAAAAATGGGAAGCTGTTTCCCTAAATCATATAGTCAGGCAGTGACAGAACCAAGAGAACACAGGTTTCCTGAAACCTCGTTTCCTCAGGACACTAAAGCTCAGCCAAAGCCACTGCTCCCACTTGGTTGAAGGGCTCAATTCAATTGGAGGTGAGAAATGGGGCAGATGTCCTCATTAGTGTTCAGATTTCAATGTGATCCTTCTGGGAGGCAGCCTAGGAAGAGCAGTGAGACAGACAGAAAGAATGAGCTCCTCTCTGCAAGCGCAACAGCTCCCAGGCCAAGGCTCCTTGGCTTCTCCCAGGTAGGAAAAGGCTGCAAACAGTGCTGGCTGCCTCTAGGGTGATTTACCTCCCTGAAATACCTCAATTTAAATGCTAATTTCCCCAGAACTGAGGGGTGATGGCTCTTGCATGCTGGCTGCTGTGCATTAATGTATCCAAACCACTCACATATGTTCTTAAAGGGGAAAAGAGGGAAGGTCCGGGAAAAGGTGGGGGAGGGTGGCAACGGAGGTCACTTCCCTTACTTGTGATTCTCCTCAGCTTGGCTGATCAGAAGGAAGCTGGAATGGGTGCATCGTCTCTCAGTGGAAACAATCTGTAGGCTATGTAGCATTTAGAGGTGATATGCGGATGGTGTTGGAGGATAAGGAAGTCCCCTCCCCCCTCGCATGGTTCACAGATGACCAGGTGCATACAGCGAGCCAAGTCTTGTGCTGGACTCTCCGAGACCCTTGAAGAGATTAAAAATCCAATGGGAGATTCAAGAAAATAAACTAGGACTACAGATAACTTTACATAAATCATCTTCCCAACCCCTGGAAGCTGACCCTCATTTTACAGAGGAAGCCACTAATGCTTACAGAATAGATCTGATCCATGAGCATATTCTACCACCAGACTCTAATGCCACTTCAGGAATCTATGCACAAACAAGTGGGAGAGGTGATACGAAGGACTTACTCCAACCAGGGAAGATTGGACTGGTGTCCTGGAAGAAGTGGTTTTGAACACGACCTCTTGCTTCCTGCTGACAGCCCTTCCCCATCTCCCTCCCAGCTCCCATTCCCGCAATATGGGAATGCACAGGGTAGACCTATGCACTCCACACACACACTCCAGGAGATACCTTCTCCATCCACTCCCCACTAGCTCAGTAGTCCCTGGGTCCTACTGTCCAGTCTCCATGGGAGCCATGGTGTCTGTACACACAGGAAGTTTGGGGAATAAGGTATGGTTTTAAAGCTTATTGTGAAAGATTTGAGATTTTACAGTTAAATTTTCAACCTCCCTTAGATCCTGAAGCATTGTGGGACCTTATTGCAAAACATCAGAAAGGGCTCTATCAAAGAAGTAGGTTGAGGCATACATTGCCCTTGTCTCTGGGTCTCTTTTCTTCATTTTTTGAACAGATGTTCCTTGAGCATCTACTGTTCACTGTTTTTCTCAGTCTTACTCAATTTGCACACTTAGGTCGTGATGTAACCACAGTACTTTGGACAGGTATACTTTGGGCCTGCCTGGAGCTGACAGCCTATGGGATAAATGGGCATCAGCAGGTCTCCCATGAGTAGGTCTAAGGTTAGAAACCCTGAAGACCTTCTTGGCAGAAGAGAGCAAGACCCTAGGGTAGTGTGTAGTAACTGATCTAGGGAGATTCCTCAAAGGAGGAAGTGCTGTGTAGTTTGCGTGATGAGTAGGAGTTGTCCAGATACAGAAGAAGGAGAACAGCTTGCTAAAGGAGAGCAGATCCTAAGTGGGGCTGGGAGAGGGTGGGATATTCTCACTAATGGAACTTAAAGACAGTCAGTGCAGATACAGAGCTGTGATCCAGAGTGTGGAGTAGGAATGTAATGGAGTTACATGTAACAGTTCCAGGGTTACATGGTGAGGGGCCTTATAGCCCATAATATGGAATTTAGACTCTCTCTTGGTTTTCATAAGTGGGGGCATCTCCTCTGATCTTCCACTGCTCCATCTCTTAGTGCTCAGATTAGTCACTGAAACAGGGTAGACCCTCAGTCAGTATTTGTGCGATGAATGACACCTCTTATTCCCAGAGTCCCCAGAACTCACGATCTACTTTTTCTGAAAATTTGATAAAACATTTCCATATAATGTCACCTGAGATCCAACTGTTTGCATCAATATACAAATATATTTTAAGAGAGCTTTGCCTAAGCAGTGGCCTTGGTGCTAATTTGAAATATGACGCTCACTTATTCAACACATACAAAGACATGCACGTGACTTCCAATCCATGTGCACAAAAGCACACACTCCAGGGGTGGTGATCAGCCAGACCGCCGGTCTCATCTTTACATGATTCAGCTCATTCCTGTGACCCAGAGTACAGGCATTGGCTTGATTAACTAAACACGTGCCTTCTGATTGCCATGAATGAGCTTGGGACTAGAGGATTAGAATGTGGTCTTGGGCACTGTCACTTCCTAACTGTAGACCTCAGTTTAAAAAATTCCCCAACTTCTGGAGGATCTATTCCTTCATCTATAAAATGGAAATAATATAATGCTTGCTTCATAGAGTTCCCATGAGGGTAAAATGACACACACATACATATCTTGACCCACAGCCACGAACAAAGGTGATGAGAAAAGCGTTGTTATGGTTTGTGTCTGGATGTCCCCCCAAAGCCTCATGAGGTCATGGGGCAGGCTTTTAGAGTTTGATTGATTATGGGTGTGAGAGCTACAACTGCCCTGGGGTGGATAGTTTGCATATGTAAGGGAAAGGAAGAGGCTGATTGCGGCCATTCCTAGCTTTTGTGCTTGTTGCTTTTGCTGTGTTCTGCCGCCATGAGCTGTAGCCCTCTGCCATGTGCCACTCTGCCTTGTAACCTGCCAAGTATGGACTGAAACCTCCACAAACTGTAAGCGAAATAAACTTTCCTTCCTTAATTTTGGGCGTAAAGTATTTTGTCCCAGCAATGAGAGAGAAGTAACCAAGACAAGCATATAATCAACAAACCTAAATAAATATTACTCATAATTTTCTAAGAAGATTAGTATCTTTTAACACACACACACACACACACACACACACACACACACTACCTAAGCTCTAGCTGATGAACAAGAGATATGACTAATATAAAAATGTTATTCATGGGTGGGAGTGTAGCTCAGTGGTAGAGCACTTGCCTTGCATGCACAAGGCCCTGAGTTCAATCCTCAGTACCACAAAAACAAACAAACATAAAGCTAAAAAAATAAATGTTACTCATTTTTACTATCTCTCCGTGATTAGGATTATTTGGAACTTTTACTTTTCACTACACACACACAGAGACAGACTCAGATTTCAGTGGCTGACCACCTCAGTTTCAGTTAGTGCCCGTCAGGCTCTTCCTTGGTCACCTTTCCCACCCTTCCTTGGTCCCACCCCAGGACTTGGGCCCGAAACTTCCGAGAGGCTCTTTTTCCTGGTCAAGGTTTGCACCATTGCAGAGCTAATAAATGCAAAGGCCCTGGGCGCCCTCTGCTGGCGGAGTCTGTGCAGGACTGTGGCCATCCCCAAGGCAGACACGGAGGGAACCAGAGTAGGGAGAGGGACCCTCGCTGACTTGTAGTTCTGCGCTCCATCCTTGCCTGCCTCCCTCCTGCTAGGCCTTCAGCGCTGACTTGCTAGCTCCCTCCCTTCGCTAACCTTCTTCCTCATGTGCTTGCCGAAGTCCTTCTGCTTCCTGGAAGCTCAGATGGAAAACCTCAACCCGAGACAAAAGGGCATCCTCAGCCAGACATCGCGTCTTCAGGTGGCCCCTGTGCTTCCTCCCATTTCCCTGTGGGGGTCATATTTTCCTCCAGAGCCAAGACTGATCTGGCCAGAGAGCAGAGGGATTGGAGGGCAGGGGTGTGGCAGGAGAGGGAAGGCCAAGCCCTCCTCCTCTGCAGTTACAACATGCTTCTAGAGGAGATTAAAAATGGAGACTCTAGGTGACCACGTTAGATAAGATAAATCTCCCCTCTGGTCCTGCACACCAGGTGCTCTCTGAGTGCGAATCCATAGCACTCACTCTTGCAGGGCCTCCGCCTTCCCGTCGCGTAAGTGGGGGGAATGCGCATGTGCCCATCGCCTGGTGCTGGCTTGAGGACTGGTGAGGTCGCATTCAGCACAGAGCTTGCTGAGTGATCAGGTTGTAATAAACCACAGACCCCTTCCCTTAGCTGTAGCTTTTCGGGGGTCAGTGCACCCACAGGCGCATCAGCCCTTCCAGCTTTGATGGCATGTGTCTGTCTT